CTCCGGGTAACCTGAAGTCCCGCTTTAAATGAATCTTACCCCGATTATCAGGATCGGACGGACAAATGAGGATGAAGATCCGGAAAGGACAACACCGCTGGTCCTTTTGTCCTGAACTAGATGGTCCCAAATGAATGTAGTACTCGCTATCAGCACTTCTATCACCTCTTCGGAAACTGCCCCAATGACTGGACGATACGTTCCCCAACAGACTTACTCATGGTACCATCCCAAGAACCAGGAAACCAGCTAAGTACTGTATAAGTGACCTAGCATGCCAAAACGCGCGAGTATCATTCTATCAGCTGAATTAACCAGCCAAACGCCAGAGGTAGATTACATTATGTTTTTTGCAAAAATCAAAAAAGCTTGGTGCAAATGCATTTTTTGTGCACGAAAATTCCACGTGAAACAATGGCAGATTGCTATCTACGATCACAAACAACATATACAGACTTACACTATCAAATGGATAATCGGTTTTACGGCTCTGAAATTTCAAGCAAGAAATTTTCAACGAAATCATTCACAAACGTATGAACCAGTCAAAACCAAGTAACCTCTCAAATTCTCCCCCTTCTCCCTACCCAGCCACCCGCCCATTTTCGTATTCATTGCCTAGAAGTGCAATCAATCGGAAGCAGCCCGAGTGGTAACACGGCCAATAGCAGCCACACGCTGGTAAGACTTTCGTTAGCACATGACGACGAAGACGGCTACAAAAACTCGTCTCCGTTTCGCCCGGACTCGGAAGCTTGATTGTAGTGCACTCAGACGAATGGAGAGGTAGACATAGGTAAGGAGTGAGAGACAGAGCGGCAGTTTAAGACTCGCGGAATCTGAAAGAAAGGAAGGGAAAAGGTTAGTGGTCGGAAAGGAGTTGAAACGTTTCACAGAAGTAGAAAAGGCAGGGACTAGGATACAGATTGTGAAGGGGGAAGGAGGAGTGACTGAAAAGGAACTGAGATGTTTCGTGGGGTAGAAAGGGCAAGACCGGGAGGTGGTGAGGACTTATCTAACGCTAAGCGGAAGCTGGGAAGTTTGTGTGCGGCACCTAAAATCTGGCCTAGACAAAAGGCCTGATACTTGTAAGCGAATGCAGTATGTGCAGCCCAGTTGAGCCGAATTTTAGTTACCTCCTCTCCCGCTCCAAGGACTGCTCGTACAAACAATTCTTGCTCACACTGGTAGCAACTACCAATCATTAAGACAAATGGAAGAGATGGAGTGGGAATAGTGATCCCACCAGCGGAATCGAACTCCCTCAACTTCAAACATGACAGCTCGAAGCAGCGATCAAAAGCTGAAGTTTTTCTGGGTAGCACTATCGCAAGTTCCACAAGGAATTCGACGACTGTTAAGAGATGAAGGGAAGAAAGATCAACACTCAAAACATTTAAAGTAGCAAATGTTAAGTGAAATAATGGGTAGTAGGCAAATTATATTTACTTCCTTGGAGAAAAAAAAGACTTACAGCAATAATAGCGAATGCTATGAGCAATATAGCTAATATAGCGATGGCTATACCACCACCCACAATATATGATGATGTGCTACCCGATGTGTATCCTTCGTGCACCCTCTGGATGTAGTTTTTGGATACATATCCTGAAACAATGACTGGGACAAATAAAAAGCACACAATATCCTATTATCCAGATGCAGTCTTTAGTAAATTTGTAATTTCCCTGTCGTCTCTTCTTTAAAAAACACGGCGGAGGGTGTAAATACTCTAGAAGAGCGTGTTTGAATGGCAATATGGAATTAGGTGAATGACGGGAACCCAAAGCAGAGAAGAATGGAGAAGATGCCGGCTGCATCAACAGCGAGAAGAAATTAAATAACAAAACTCTTCACAATATTTTCCGGTCATGAGTAATGTATTATAAATTTTTTATAGCTTAGAACGCAAGATCATGGCCTTTTTTACAAC